ATATTATTGGTTTGAAGTGGATTTTGATACGTAAAAGTGATGCGATTTTGTGTAACTATTTAGTCTCTGCGCATGTGAATTTTAGTAGAAATGATGAAACAAGTGCTCCAATGTTGATATAAACTTCAAATTATTTTTTAATACAGTTGCTCAAAAAGTGGCGTATTACAGGGACGTATAGCGTTCGGGATGTGGGCTATTAGATATAATATATGAACTTGAGCTTTTTCTTTACCTTTTCCGAACTTGTGCGTTCTCTTTCCCAACTGTCAAAATAATGTCTATTAAAAAGAAAAAAACCAACCATGAAGTTTTTACTAAAAAAAAATCATAGAAGTTTTTATGATTCATGCAAATATTTCTAAAAAAAAGCTACTAATTTGTTTCAATATCAGATTTAATGATTTGATTCAATGAGTTAGGTTTGGTTTCATTTCATTTCGTCTCATTAAATTTTATTTTCATTTCGTATTAATAAAAAAATTCTACTGAAGACTTGGCTGTATGGGTATTGTTCCCTTTGCCTACCCAGAATGGGTGAAGAAAACAAAAAACATTCTTTTACGGTTGGCGCCATTTTCCAAAAAGTTTTTTGGGATTTTAGTTGATTGTTGCATAAAATTTCGACGATATTTTATTTGAATTAACACCAACAGAACTTAGTATGTCAGAACTTAGTAGCTCAAAATGTCGAAAAGTCAAAAAGTTGCAAAATATCTACATACGACGAATATATTGCTTGGAAAGAAGAGAAAAAAGCAAATAGTTTTTCAGAAAATGTTATGTTGGCATCATTGAGCTATTATGTACTACGTACTAGAGGTGACACTGCATTCAGCTACTCTGTTCCACTCAACTGCGGTGCATACACCGCACTTTAATCAGTCACTCGCTAGGCGCTTATAGAGTTGTCACGTGTTGTGTTGATTTAAAAAAAATCTCTTGATAAAAATATGCGGTCGTGTGTACTTAGATATTGCACAAATAATTCAAGAAATGTCAGTAAAAGCCAGGGAATTACTTTTCATCGGTTAATAAAATACTTAATCAATAAAAAAGTATTATGTATTAATAATAAAACAAATTATTCATAAGACGCCATCTCGTGTCAGGATATATAGATTATGAAATTAATATGTTCAGATGCGAAATTTCTGTGGGTACTTAAGTATAGTACGAATATATTATTATACACGTGTTTTTTTTTTGTAGAAACATAATATATAAGTTATTATAATTTGGCAAAATGTTTCATGTTTAAATCTGCTTATACGAGGGCGGCACTGAAAATTTCGGGAATCAAGGAAGTGACACAGTTTAAAAATGTATTTATTGCTTTTCGAAATATTCTCCGCGAAATTTGACACATTTTTCCATACGATGGAACCAATCATTGAAGCAACCATTCCATTCGGAAGTTGGGGTCTGCAAAATGGCCGTTTTGTAGGCGTCCACAGCTTCTTTAGGTGATGAAAATCTCTGTCCACGCAATTTATTCTTTATTTTAGGGAAAGTATAGAAATCATTAGGGCTTAGGTCGGGGCTGTACGGCGGATGGTCTAATAATTCTATGTTTTCTTGCTTTAAAAACTCTTTTGTTCTGTGTGCGGTGTGAGAACTCGCATTGTCGTGATGGAGGATAATGCGGCGGTTGCAGACCTGTGGCAAACAAATGCTAGCATACCATTCTGCATTAACCGTTCTTTGTCCCTCAAGAGGAATAGTCGTGACATGGCCGGTTTTGGAGACAAACGTGGCCACCATTTTTTTTTTTGCAACACTCCGTGAACGAACAATTTTTGTTGGCTTTATCTCATTTTCGAACACCCAAACTCGTGACTGGTTTTTTGTTTCGGGTTCGTACGCGTATATCCAGGATTTGTCACCAGATACGGTGTTGTATACAGCATTTGCTGCGTGGAATCTTTCGAGAGTTCTCACGCACCAAGTAACGCGAGCCGCTTTTTGCTCTTCACAGAGCGAATGCGGTGTCCATCGGTAAAACAACTTTTTTACACCTAATTGTTCATGCAAGATTTGTATTTGACTCATGCCAATGTCTAAAGTTGCCTGAATTTCGTGGTATGTCACATGTCGATCTTCCTCAATCAGCTTACGCACAGCATCAACGTTTTCTTGGGTGACTGCAGTTTTTGGACGACCTTGACGGGGATCATCACTGAGCTTGACACGTCCACGTTGAAATTCAGCAAACCAGCGATAAATTGTGGTCTTAAATGGGGATTCATCACCAAATGCAGAAATCATCCGGTCAACACACTGTTTTTGTGTTAAACCACTTCGAAAGTCATAATAAATCATCGCTCTTGAATTTTCTCGAGTCAATTCCATTTTTTCAACGACTAAATAAGTTTGACAAAACCTTGTGACAAGACCGAGAATCTTTTTTTAAATAAATAAATGGTATTCGATTTTTAAAACCAATGAGTTTTCAATTAAAAATATTTTAATATGACAGGAACAGTGGAAATATTCCATGCCCGATACTTTTAGTGCAGCCTATGTATACATAATATAGCTGCTTTTATTTTATTTTTAGATTTCCACATCAACGTTAAAGTGGTATAAATTCGTCCATTTTTAACTCTCGCGTGCTCAGCATTTATGAACGACTTTTATTCTAATTTAAATAAATATATTTGTAATTTAAATGTTATGTTAATAAGTTTTGTTAAACATACATTTAGTATGTTTTTTATATTTGACTTAGATACCTTTTGAAATATTCAGATAAAAATAACATTAAAATGTAATTGTGATATAGTATCATGTAATATTATATTAAATAAGCAAATATAATATACAAAACAAATGACAAAATTTAAATATTGTTCTCGTTATAATTTACCTATTTAACAATACAATCTATTATCACCTACGGGTCATTCTACCTATGTTTATTCTATGATAAAAAAACAACCGCGCGAACACAGAGTAACGAACATTTTTTGTTTGAGATAGCTGTTCTAGTACGGAAGTACATATTATTTCAATGGTTGGCATACTTCTCCGAATTCTCAGCAAAATGAAATCTTCTACGTTATGGTCGAGGTTTTCTATCATAAAAAGTATGCTTAAAGTAAGGAACAATGTGGATATAAGTGAATACCCAAAACTAAATGCTTTCTTAAAACGACAATCAGACGGTTTAACAACTAAAAAGTCGAAAATATTAACATCGAATGAAGTGAAAAGGTTTTTGAACGAAGCTCCCGATGATCGTTATTTAGCCATAAAGGTAACTATTAAATTGCTTCATTTTTTCGCAACTGTAAACTAAAATAAGTAGTTGTTAATTACAAGTGCGGAACCGTCATTGCAACTTGTTCCGACTGTCAACCCTCATCTTCGGCTGCGCTTCGGGGGTAAATTTCAACTCTGCGATGACAAGCTTTCCGCACTTGTAATGAAATATACTATTATCCGCTTAGACCCTATGAACTTGAGATACTTGCGTCATCGACTATCGGTTGAATCAAACTGTCATCAAAATCTCCCAATAACTTCTCTAGTGAAGAAGATTTTGAAACAAACTATTTTAATAAAGGATAATTTCTTATTACTTGACTCTAGCAAAAGTACAACGTTACTGTTACAGCCTAGCTGAACTTAGGCCTCCTCCATAGATTGCCTTAATCATTATCAAAGAAAAAAAACATCCACTGTTGAAAATCGAATTACCTGTAAAAAATGGGTGAAAAATGATATTTGACGCTGTGACCACCTATGGAAATAGGTGGTCACAGTGTCAAATATCAAGCTCTACAATCTTAGAACATTAAAACTTGGAAACCAATGAAATGCTATTATGCAAAATTAAGACGCACTTATTAAACTATTTAATACCATATCTATCTACTACTTTTTATTTTAGTCGTATTATAAAATCATGTTGTTCTAACTAACAATAATAGGTGACGCTGTTCTCAAATTCAAGTGAATAATTCTTTAAACAGATACTAGATGTCGCCACTACCTGTAGGTAAATTTACAAAATATTTAAAAAAAATATTCCAATTAGTAGAAAATAAGTGTAGCGGAAATTAAGATATTTTCTTTTGTTTAAAGTTAATAAAAATCTGTGATGAAAGTTTTTAACGTGTGCTTATAAATAAATACCGATTACATGTGCTTTCGTAAAACTGTTCTTTAAAAAAACCGTAACTAGATGTTTTTGGTATGATTTTGGAACTATATCTGGCAGCATATCACCCTGCCATTACGATACGTAAAAGGGTATGTTCCGAAATACAACTAGAGATGAAGCGTATATACTAGAACAGGTCCAGGCACTAGGTATTAAACGAGACTAGCTTGCACCTGTTCCAATTTTCAAAATACTTGATCCACCTAGTCTCACTGTGCCTACGCGTCTCACGGTACTGAAGTATGAAGGTATGAAGAACCGGCGCGGCGAACCGAGATCGCATTTGGTTGCCATAGTTACTAGTATGCTTTGCCGCTCACTCGTATGTCCTTAAATTATTCGTGTATCAGGCATTTGAATTTGAACCATATTTCAATGTACAAAAAAGTCACACAACGCGCACTCGTGTTGTACAAAAATATAATATTCTGTCCTTTTTTAACTGCACTATTCCGCAGTCTTTCTATCTTTGTCTTTTATTATTTGAGAGTTTGAGACTAGTCTACTCGGGACTTCAACCAAATACTAGGCAGTCGAGTCCCTAGTAGGTACGGACTTGTACGGACTCATGCGAATGTGATCTCAGTGGACGCCGGTTCAGTAACTAGGTACTCGACGTTGCAATCGTATACGCGTATTGGACTTGTTTATAAGAATTGGTTTTCATAACAAAGTTAAGAGATAATAAGTATAAAGTTAAGTTAGGTTATAAATTAAAGTTATATTATAAATTTAAGTTATATTATATAGTTAAATTAGGTGTTATTAAGTAGTTAAAGAACTTTTTATTTTATTTTTTATTAAGACATTAAAGTGTTAATTGTTTATAAAAATGGCTCCCAAAGTAATTAGTGTCGCTTGGGATCACTTTACGGACAAAGGCCAACAAATGGCCGAGTGTAATATATGTAAAATACAGTTCAGTTTTAAAAGTTCTGTATCAAACCTTACAAAGCACCTTAAACGTAAACATCCATTCGTAAGTTTAGTTAGAAGGAACGATGTTCCAGCTCCAGTGATAGCAGCCCAGACCAACCAGCAATCGTCAACCTCAAACCAACCTGCTGGAATAGTTCAACAATCTGAAGGTGAAGAACGTCCGTCCACTAACTTGGTACGATTAGTACAACCAGGTTCGAGAACTATAGCTTCGTACATATATAAAAAAAATGCTGATAAATGTAAATCTGATATAGATAAGTTAATAATGGATTTATTTATTATGGACTTTCAACCATTCCGTATTGTAGAAGATAGAGGTTTTAGACAATTAATTCAGTCTGCTTTTCCTTTTTATGTTATTCCGAATCGTAAGTTCTTTGCAAACAATTTATTACCAAGTCGCTATGAAAGTTTGCGAACTTCAAAAATGACGGAAGTTGCAAACGATGTTGAATCGATTTCCATCACAGCGGATATATGGACATCAAGTACAAACGACTCGTATATGGGTATTACTGGTCATTATATCAATAAAAATGACTGCACTTTAAAATCTATCTTGTTAGATTGTGTACTTTTAGAGGGATCACATACCAGTGCCAATTTAGCTATGGAACTGTCACGAATAACAGAGGAATGGAAAGTGTCAGGAAAAATTTTGTTAGCAGTGTCAGATAACGGCGCCAATATTAAAAAAGCCATGATAGATTTAGGCTGGAAGCATTTTGGTTGCTATGCACACACGCTAAATTTAGCTGTCCAAGAAGCATTATCTGGGACACAAGAATTAGTTGATTTAATTAATAAGGTGAAAACTACTGTTGCTTACTTTAAAAGATCCGCTCAAGCCTGGGAAAAATTAAAAAAATACCAGGAACAGGCTGGAAAATCTCCTAAAAGACCTCTACAATGTGTAAGTACGCGGTGGAATTCTACATTCTACATGTTGCAGAGGTTCGTAGAATTAAAAGAAGAGGTTAATAGTGCGCTCTCTAACTTAAACGCCATTAGCATCTCCCTAACTGCAGTTGAATGGAAACTTTGTGAACACATTTGCAACATTTTAAAACCATGTGAAGAAGTTACAAGGGAAGTAAGTGCTCAAAAATATATAACAGGAAGTTTAGTGATACCTATAACGACAGGGTTAGTTAAATCTTTAGAAAATATTAATAGTAATACATACCTCGACACCGCCCAAAAACTACAACAAGACTTGCTGGCCGCTATAAAAAATAGATTTATACATTTAGACAAAAGCGGCACATTTACTACGTGTATGTTCCTGGATCCCAGATTCAAATTGTATTTTGAAGATCAGTATGTAGCTGACACTACAAAACAAAGAATTATAGAAATGATTACAACAATTATAAATAAAGAGGATCGAAATTATCCCCAAATTGAAAACGAAGAGCAGCAGCTATCGGATCAAGCAGCAAATCCTCCACCTCAGCTTCAAATTAATTTAGTATGGCAGCATTATGCCGAAAAAATGAAAAATATACAACCCAAGGGCACGGCAACTTCTCGAGCAATTTTAGAAGTGCAAAGATATTTGGACGATAAAGTTGTGTTGCCGAGTGAGAATATATCACCACTAGAGTGGTGGAAAAGGCGGAAGGATGTATACCCGCATTTGTATGCCCTAGCACTCAAGAAGTTAAATGCAATGGCCACGAGTGTCCCCTGTGAAAGATTATTTTCCTCCTGTGGATTGTTACTTAATGACAGGAGAACAAGGCTGGGGACTCGAAAAGTTCAACAATTAATGTTTTTAAATCAAAATTCATAAGGCTGATTTTCTCCGTATATATAAAAAATAATTATTGTTGATAGGTGATTTAAAAAAAAAATAAAAAAAAAACAAAAAAAAAAACTAAAACAGGCAAAAACTGATTACTTTGAAAAAAAAAATGAATTGAAATCTTTTAAATACGCCAACAATCTATAATGTAGATAAAATCTTTACGTTGACAGTCCTAAGCCTGTGTAAAGTATGAAGGGAAGATTACAATTCATTACTGTATACGTACACGTATCGGTGGTACGCAAAGATTAAGCATACTTTGAAGTGTACCCTATTCCAACAATACCAATCTTTATGCATACTTCATGGACTAGGAGGAACAGGTATTTGGATCAAGTATTTGTACGGAATTGGACTAGGTGCACCTGGTACAAAATTTACCTAGTACGACTCATCTCTAAATACAACGCAGTATTGTCCAATGCAAATGACGTATCATTTGACACTTTATTGTACTAGCGTGCCGCCGCCATATTGTGTCGGATATCCGGCCATAATAAAACAATTTTTAATTGTGTGTTTGCCGAATGAAGCATGCCAGAATTTGTTTCTATTTATTCAAATACAAAAAATTATAGAATAATTGATGGTATATCCATTAGGAGGATATAATGATTTTGGAGCACAAAATGACAAAATAATCGCAAACACTTTTCCAAATGGCGCAAAAGTATGACGACATATACTGTCCATTGTTTTGTAGTGATGGGTAACTCATCATTTTTATATGAGGTTGAGGGAGCACCTCGTTTTACCTCACGAGGGACCCCTCATTTGAGGCGAGGTATCGTACGTCAGCGTATTCAATTCACCTCACGAGCCGAGCCCGAGCTCGAATCGAACTCTGCCGATTGTCCGAGGCAGCGGCAAGCGAGGCGGACGGGCGCGTCGACTCACGAGTACTCACGATTCCGATTTTTACGTCTCCCTCACACACGTTATTTTCTTTCGCTCATGAATTCCGCCAAAATAAACGAATCAATGACACTTGAATAAAAATCTAATGCTTATGTTTTTAGAGTTCATAATTAACGTTTAGAGATTCATATTAATAGCAGAAATAAAAATATTTTCTCTATTAATTCGTTTTGAGTAACTAATAATGTTACTTTACCTATGTTGACCTTGGAGGTGCACGTGTGGTGAAGTAATTGTTGATATTGTTGTGATTGTGAAAAACGCGTTTTTTCCAATACGATTATTTTTTTACTTTTTATCCTTGATCTCAATTAATACACTCAGTTTATTTGCTTCGTGTGTTTTATTTACCCTGCAACTCATTTCACACAATTTTTTGTATCTCTTCTTAATTTAAATAACATCCTACCAAACATCAGTATCACACACACATACACACACCAAACATCATTATTTCATTTTGAGTACATAACACAATCATAATGTTTAATGTTTTCAAAATTTCGATTCCTCACCTCACTCATTCTCTGATTTATTCTGTACTGTAAATATGGATTTCTAAGTCGGTACATTCGCTCGCTAAGCTCACTCAATCGCGATGCTCGCGAGTCGCGAGTACTCGTGTCAATAATGTCTATGTCAATTTTTAAGTGAGGACGCGTGAACGAGTGAGGTGGTTTAGTGTTGAAAATCGAGTAACTCTTTCAATTTGCGATCACGAGTACCTCAAACGAGGCACCTCATGAGTGAGGGGCACATCTCTGTTGTTTTGGAACGAATCACCAGTATAGCGTCGATTCATGACGTCATTTGCATTGGACAGTACACTGCGTTGTATTTCGGAACATACCCGTTTATTTATCTATGAACATACCCTTATTTACGCTTCCCGTCACTTCCCGTACAACCATTTTCAATTATTTGTATTTTGTGACATATTGTAAATAAATATGTCAGGTAAGCTTAGCTGTGTCCCTGGATTTAAGGACAGTGACAGTATATCATCTCGTCTAAACATCTTGCATCAAGGGCATTGTTTGTCATAAGCATAAGTGCTAACTAAATATATTTTTTTATATGTATCTCTTAAATATTTTATGCATGCATCATGTTCTTCACAGATTTCCAAACATAGAAAACGATAGTGAACGATTCAGGGTATGTCTTTACGCAATTGGCGGTGATTTACTAGACCTCGAAAATTAGCACATATTCAACTTCAAGTATCGCCATGTGTCACATTTTGAAGAAAAATTTCAATGCAGAAATAACAGAATCAGTAACATTGCTGTACCTACTTTGAATATACCAGGTTTGTCTTTATAGATTATAGAATAAGTATACATAATATGGAATGAATTAAGAACATAAAATAATATGAATTATGTATATAGTTTCTTTATAAAATATGCCTAATTAAGTAGTTAGGTAACTAGTAATTTTACCATGATTCATTCATTAATCTAACTAGAATATTATTACATACTATTTGTTGATCACGGCTGACAAAAGGATGACGCTTTGATGATCAACCATTAGGTCTAGTTTTCATAAATATTAAGCTTGCAATGTGTTATCACCCCTCTTTTATACTTTTTAAAAATAAATTATTTTATAATATTATTATACAGTGAAAATATACTTTTGTAAGTCATCACAGATACTGGTATAATAATGATATAAATAATTTCAACGTTAATCCTATTATTTTATTTTAGCTACATCATCAAATAAATCAGCAGTTTAAGAAGAAAACCCGTGAAATAAATTGTGAACCTGGCAAAATTGTCAACACCTACATGTACTGATATTTTTCAACAAGTCTGCTATTATACTTATAATCATAAAACTATCATCATTACAGCACATCACAAATCCACTGCTGAACATAGTATGTGATCTTTTCAAGAGGACTAATATTTTAATACTTTCATCATTGTTTATGTATGAGTATGTCATAATATACATATGGAAAAATGTAAATTTATTATTAAAAAAAGAGATAAGTTTCCTGTAGAAAGGGTTGAGATGATACCATAGAAGTTCCTAAATTTGGATTGACTTAAGAAATCCATAAAATTAAGCAATAAAATCTCTATAAATATAATGCAATAATTGAACATAAGATTTATAAAACTTATGAAGGAAATTTTGATAAATAACTAATAAAAATTTAGTAAACCCAAAACAAAAAAAAAGAGCTGATGATCTTCAATTGGCTGAACAGATTTTCTTGAATCATAACTTAGAATACTCTTGATCTAGTCACCTTTCAACAAAAAAAGGCTAAATAATTCTCCATCTATGCTGCTACTATAATGCTTCAGACAGACGCACAGATACATATGTTCAATTTATAACAACACTTAATTTATTCAGTCGCTACTTAAGGGTTCTTCTGTTTTAAGTTATTATGAAATTAGCTAACCTAACAACATTTTATAGTAACCATACCAATGTTAAAAATCTTTTATGTTTTAAATATATAGATTGTCTTGGCCATCGCATGAAAACGCAATGTATCTCACAAGTAATACATATTATATGCACGACGCAAACGACGAAATACATGCTTAGTATAAACAGCGCTGGTTCAGCAACCCAGGGGCGGTGGGCGGAGCCACGAGGGTCGCGACCGGCGAGGTTCGACAACTAGTGAGGGTGCACACAACAACACGGAAAAACAGCTGTAGTCTTAATTATTGCATTTATTTTTGTTAAACCTGTATAACTTATATTCAATAATAAAAAAGAATGATGTAACTATGCAATAACTCTCCCAATAAAGACACCGAATAAATAATGAGAGTTAGCATAGATTTTAAAATGTAAATTGTACTCTTACATCTAATTTACCTTTGTTGCATATCACCTTTATTGTATATTACCTTTCTTACATATTACCATTCGTATAAATTACCTTTCTTGTAAAAAAGATAATTATAACATCAACAATGCATGTTATCGTGACGCGGCCGCGGAGCAAATGAGGCTACGCGTACCGCGCTTTTTTTTTTTTTTTTTTTTTTTTTTTTTTTTTTTTTGCGCCCGAAGCAATTAAAGGGCTACCCTATACGTAGGGAGGCGGAAAATGCATTACGCATACCACGATAGCCGGTCTATCGTGGTTATGAGGGGCTCACTGTCCTACCGGGGACCCTAAGTGATACCCTCTAAAAACCGCCTTTGGGGACAGGCAACCGGCTGATTAAGCTCTATTGTGCCTTATCATGAGCGACCCTCTTTTGGGAAAAGAGGGCGCAGGCGGCTAAGTGCCGCTGAGGGAGTGCCTACGAAGGCAAGTTAATGTTAGATATTACAATAATTTTATTTAATTAGAGTTGGCCTGAGCTGCCAGGAGACAGTTCAGGTCGTTTGAAAGTTTATTAGGCGGGTCCGAGAGAGAGTTTCTCGGCCTGCGGACACGATAGCGAGAGGGGGTGGGGCTGCATAAGAAGCTGCCTCACGAATTAAATGGTTTGGGTGCGACTCTGAGGCTTTGAAGAAGTTCTCAGAGAGTTTTTTAAGAAATTGTTGAATTGTTGGGAGCTCTAAGTCCCGATGAAGGTCGGCATTGCGGACGTACCACGGTGCGTTCGCAGCTCGACGACAGAAGAGGTTCTGAACTATTTGGAGTTCATTTAAAATGTTAGGGTTTGCGTGGGCAAAGACGGGGCCCGCGTAGGAGGCGTACCGCGCCACGACGTTTTATATATATAGTGCTGAGGTGCGGGGCAGGGTTCTCAGCTTAAAAATTGTAATATTAAATATTTAAGAAAAGGCCATATTTATATGCGCATTTAATTTTCTTTTTCATCATATCCAGTATAATTGTGTCAATTCTTTTTTTTTTATTTAACAGTTTAATAATTATGCAGACTGCGACAGTGCACTTGCATTGTCGCAGCGCATTGTCTGGCAGGGTCTCCATGTAATGTTGGTAAAGATGTTAATGAGATGAAACATACTCTAAACTTAACACTATATTGTCGTGGGAGCTACACTTCAATTCACTGAGAAACACCCATTACTCCTGACCTACAGTGATATATTTATTTTGGTTATTT